GCGGTTTACCTCATATTTACAATTAGTGTTTTAGCGCTTTTTTCAGTTGAGAAACACATTGATTTGGAAATTCTTACCAAAATCAAATAATTGTCGGATTTTAATGAAACTTTTCTAACTTTCACAAATGAATGAAATTATTTTTAAATTTTTTTAAAAATCTTGGTAAAAAACATGTTTCATTAAATTTCCAGGAATGAAATCTCAATACCAAAATTTGTTTAATTACTTAAAAGCAAGGCTCCTTGGAGAATTTAAATCATTTTCTTTTCTCTTTCTTTTTTTTCTTTTCCTTTTTTTTTTTTTTTTTTTTTGTAAAACCCAAAAATCTGTTCTGAAAAACAAAATAAAAATGCAATAAAACTATGAAATTATTTTATTAGAAAAGCTTTTAATTACTTTTTTAAATAAAATATATTAAGGACAATAAAAAATTTTCGATGAATAATTTTTACAAGAATTATTTTCACTTTTTTTACATTATAATAATTTAAATTATTCAAAATTCTGCATTACTTCAATCGCTTTAGGTTATATTGCTATTAAGTGAAAACTAAATTTACGAATCAAGAATTGAAAAGCTGAATAAAAGTCATTCACCTCCAATATTTTTGAAATATTTTTTCTTGCATAGAAACATTCCCATTTTCGTATGAATGTCGGTCAATATGTTTTAAGAATTGTTAGCCCTAAAAATCTAGCCGTCTGCAATCCTTTCATTATTCATTTCTGTCTTTCATTTGTGTTTATGTCTCAACAGGCTTGGCAAATCATCCCTTCAAAATTTTAAGCTTTAAAATTTAAAGTAATTTTTACTTCTTTTAAATTCCTATTTCACTAAATATTTTCATTTTATGTATGTATTTTAATGTGGGTCATACTTCAATTCTATTAAACTAAAAAATAATTTTTACTTTAATTTAAATTTTTCTTATTCAATTTCTATTTGAAGTTCTTACTTTTTTTTAATTTCCGTCTCATTTTGAAATTTCCTTTCAAATTATTTTGACTTTAACTCCTATTTTCTAAAAATGTTTTGTTTTTTGTTAGTAGTTTTTACATTTTACTTTAATTTTATTCTTTTTGTGACAGTTATTTTGGTAAAAACGTAAGCCTATAAATAAATAGTAACTAAAATTCAATAAAATTCTATCTATAAAAGGTAGAATTTGTGTGTGTGTGTGTGTGTGTGTGTGTGTGTGTGTGTGTGTGTGTGTGTGTGTGTGTGTGTGTGTGTGTGTGACGAATGCACAGCCGCAATTTTCGACGGATTTTGCACCAAAATTTACATGCACATGCTCCAAGTTAGTGGGAAAGCCAAGACTGACTTTGCATTTCCCAACTCCCATCGATAGTGGAAATAATCGATTTTTACATGCTTCTACGGCACTTTTCATGTAGTTTGCGGCCAGAGTGAGAGCCTATAGCTGGCTTCCACGAATAGGCAGGAAGATTCTATTGGCCAGCGTGAGAGCCAACAGCTGACTGACACGAAAGTTAACTAGCATGCAAGCATGCAAAAAAAATCGATAGCTGCATTCGTCACAAGTGGAAAAAAATTAAATCTGCATGGCACTTTACTCCAATTGGCTCATTCGCTTGCTTAAACTCAACGTTGATTCTGATTCCGCAGAACTGGGTTGGGTGTGAAAAAGTATTTGTTGTTAACATTCTTTTTTCATTCGGTTTTTCCAGTTACGAGTCCTTTTTAAAGCTGATCGTTTTGTGTTCATTTTGTTTAGTTCTTTTTTGTAACAGATTTAATGTTTAGTATAGAGCTTGGAAAAAATTCGCAGTGTGAGATAGGCAAGAAGTAAGGCATGTAGCAACATCAGCACGGCAAAGGGCACTCCTTTAAAGGCAAGGAAGGAAAAAATATTTTAAGTCAAGTGATAGCGATTGCTGTATGAGTCGTACGATTTTTTGAATCAAGCCCGGGCAACGCCGGATCATGCTGCTAGTATTAGATAAACGTTGAAAATATTGAAGTTAATTTTTAAAAAGTACAAGTTAGTTGAAAATCAAAAACAAAGCGTTTACTTAGATTTTGTAAATTTCTATCAATTTCTGGTCAACCATACTTAGCTTTTCAACACCTTCGACTGCCAATCAATCACATCAGAAAAACAAAATTCCGTGGTTAAGAAATGCTTGTATACTACATTTTATGCTCGAAGTAATATTTATTTCAAATCAGATCAATTTAATCTTAAATTTGCTAATTTTCCTCAGATAACGTGCCAAAAATATATTTTTAATTTTTGGAAGATTTTTAAGAGCGAGAGTTAACTTTTGTTTGCAAGCCTATCAAAATGGCTGACACTTTTATCGATTTTCTGAAAGCGAGTGTTTTGCTTACTGGAAATAGTAAATTTAATCATTTGGATTTCAATTGAAGCTAAAAAGTAAGCTTCAAGAATGCTTTTTTCATTTTTGAAAGTTCATTTTAAACCTTAGGGATCGAAAATTTAGTGGGGGTACCGAGTTTATAGCAATGAAGATGATGTCAGATAAAATGTCCTGTAAAAAGAAAAAATACTGTTGCTTACGTTTCATACAGGGTGGTCTGAAAGTCTTGTCACCCTCTACTTCACTTCCAATCTGTAAGTGTTCGTGTCAGTCATCTGAAATTGAAAATTATATTATGTAGGGGTGACAAGACATTCGGACCACCTTGTAGATTTGCAGAAGTTCTGTCGAGAAACATTCTACCCTTAAATTGCTAATACAGACATTATTTTTAGTGAATATCCATATTTGAGTAGACGATCAGTTTTATTAATAAGAGTATTTATTTAAAATAAGTGTATCTACTCAAATACTGATATCCATTAAAAATAACGCTTAAAGTAATAAAATATGTCGGATTAAAAAATAAATCAATTCTTTATATATATATATATATATATATATATATTATCAATTTCCATGCTCTACGAATATAGAACCGTAAAGTGTCCAACAAACTGCTATAAAAGCAACCGTGCTAACCAAGGCAGATTTTTTTTTCTTGCGATGAGCCTGAGATGGAGATTTGGTCTGGGTGGATTATTATTATTATTATTATTATTATTATTATTACTGTTGTTGTTGTTGTAACCTAGGGACGGTCACTGAATAGAATAATCACACGAAGGTTGGTAATGAACGATAATACTAAGGACAAGAACAACACATATAAGATTCGCCAGCGGCGCGTAGACGTGAGTCAAGTGAATTCCACAATGAATCTCTAACTGCAGGATATCTACCAACCGCCCCACGCGGTCAAACGTGGCACAAGGCATAATTTAATGTGGGGTGTCCGAGCCAGTGGACTTGGCCAAAAATTCCCCGTAGACCCCGTCTAAAAAAGGCCGGGTAGTTGTTTCCGAGACGAGCCTCTACCCTTCGACGTAGCCTTTCAGGGGATCATCTCTGACCGGAGGCAGAGTGTTTGACCAGCACAGCTGGAGACGAATCTCCAACTGCAGGCCAACATAGAGTATTTATTACTGTATTTATGTGAATGTCCGTAGGTATGCTGCAACAATTATTATTATTATTATTATTATTATTATTATTATTATTATTATAGCTGGACTACGGAATTAAGAAATAAATAAATAAAAACAGAAACACGTATCATGTATAATAATCACAGACATTTTTTTTATTTTTATTTTAATTATTTTACCCCAAGCAATGCAATAAAGTTACTAAGAAGCAAGAGGTTATCGAATTTAAAAAATATGAGAAAAACTTCTATTAAGAAAAGAGAGACCAATAAAAGAACAAGAACTAAGAAAACAGAAGATAACGATTGACATTGCATTTAAATTTTTGAAGAAATTAAATTTTTGAAAAGCCAAAAGAGAGTTTCACAAGCAAGAAGTGCGATAGAAGAAACTGTTAGCATAGAACTTGCGGTTACATCTTTGCCAGATCAACTGTACAATTACCGCCAACCTAGTACAATGTTTAAATTCAAAAAGTCTTGGTCCCATAGAGGACAATAATACTTATTTTGAAAAATGCAAAAATATGGCACAAGGCCAAAAGGGGGGGGATAGAGAAAGACTGGTCTTCAGTCTGTCTTATCTTAGACTTAGCAAGCCACAATTACTGATCCAAACATTATTCCTTACACCAAAATAACCGTTCTAACTACAGTCGCCATAATACCTAAAAGTCTCTATGAAATCCTAGCTAGTTCCCATATGGATAATTTATCTGGTTGGGGAGGGATAACAATATTTAAAAATGAATCCCCAAGAAATATTTTTACCATACAGGGAAGTCCATCCGAAGAATTGGCATAAAAGTATTTATAGAAAAGGCAGAGGGAAGCTACGTTAGAGTGATGAGAAAGTGACTGATTGTAGATTCTTTGAATTTTCTCTAGAATCTCTAAATATTTAGCAGGAACACCAGAACGAATGAGACTTGTCGTACGTGTTGATAATTCTAAAATTTTCGAAATTTTGGATGATCATTAAATGACTTGGAACTGAGATTCAAACATTTCCTATTTCTCTCTCTCTCTCTCTCTATATATATATATATCTATATATATATATATATATATATATATATATATATATATTTAAGAAAAAATTAAGGGAGTAAAAAAAAAGACTGTAAGTGACTTAAAATATATATATATATATATATATATATATATATATATATATATATATATATATAATTATTTTTATAAAAATTTATAACATAAGATTTATAAAATAAATGAAAAATATTTATTTTTGTTTCAACACTCATGTCTTGATAAGTGACAGAGTGTGTTGAAATAAATGAAAAAACCCATTTACAAGGCCTTATGAATATCTCTTACTTTGTATGGGACACTCTTTAAGAATAGTAATTGTTGGTTATTGGAATTCATTCCGTGTATACCAATTATATACTTTATATATATATATATATATATATATATATATATATATATATATATATATATATATATATATATATACCCAGTGAGGATACATTCGGCCTTA